AGAGGTGGGTGCCTGCTTTTGAAGGCATTTGAATGATTCTATCTAAAAAACATTCTTATGTTTTTCTCACTAAAATAAAATGGTCAAAGATAAAGGATTATTAAAGAGTTCTTTGTTTGTAAGTTACATTAAAAAGTGCAATGTGGAGCTGGGCATGGTGGTTCACACCTGTATTCCCAGCTACTTGGAAGACTGAGGTGGCAGGATTGCTTGAGCCTAGGAGTTCAAGCCTGCAGTAAGCTATGATTGTATCTGTGAATAGCCACTGTACTACAGCCTGGGCAACATAGTGAGATCCCCATCTCATTAAAAAAAAAAAAAGAACAATGTGAATAGACATAGGTTGTATAGCTATATTAAAATTTTTCCTTTTTGATAAATTTTGCATAAATATAACACATGTACAGAAAAGTGCACAAATCAAAAGTATACAGTTACATGTCTGTCAGCATTTTTATTTATTTATTTTGATGTCTAACTTAATTGTATTGTGTTCTATATGACACCAGTCCTTGAACATTTGTTGAGACTTGCCTTATTGCCCCAGAGCATCATCAAGTATGCTTGAAAACAATAGGTATCATACAGTCATTGATTATTCTGTTCAGATCTTCATATTCTTACCAACTTATGTCAGCTTGGAATAACAATTTCTGACTGAAGTATGTTAAATCACCACAATTCTCTTCTTCACTTTTTTAGCAGCCTGTATAGAATTTGGCCATCTATAAAGGCTACAGTGATCATCAATCTAAGGCAAGCCAATAATGGATATTCTTATTGCACAACCATCTTCATGCATGTGTATTCCCTTTCTTTCCTCTTCTTGCAGGTGTTCCTTTTGATCCAAAGTGAGAAGATGAAAAATGATTATGTTTACCTCAGTTGGTTAGCTCGGTGCTGTAAGTCTTCTTTTAAATGCTACAAGAAGAATATTTTTTTTCTTTCCTATTGCATAATCTGTTTGGAAATTCCATTGAGAGTTTTCTAATTTTATTTTGTATTTTGTTCTGTAGAATAAGCAAACATAGAAATTAAGGCTTGTTAATGCTACTCAGTAAGGTCACCATCTAAATGTGTTATGTAAATTTATCCTGTGATTAGTTGTACTGTACAACATTGACCTAGCACTTATAGTCCTGAAAGATGTCAAGTTCTTCCTTTAGCCTTGCTAAGGTTTCCAGAGTTTTAGTTTACAGTGTTGCTTATGAAATTATATTGCTACACTATTTTATCTTTTTTCACTATGGTTCAGGCCTGAAAAGTGGCAAAATGTCCAAAATGTAATTTCTTAGTACATTATAAGTCTTATACTCTATCTCTCACTCACTATCTTTTCTTCTTTTTTTCACTCAGATTTAAACGTTCAGTGAGTTTGTATAGTCACAGGAAAATTTTAGCAATCAGATATTCTTAGTGAGACTGAAAGTATGAGTAGGGCTGAATAAAGAGTACGTATCCTCTTTTAAGCAGATGAGTTAAGTGGGAACTACTACATACATGAAATGGGAACTACTACACATAAAAAACATAATTTTGTGACTTTAACTTTTTTTTTTGAGTTAGATTCTCACTCTGTCACCAGGCCGGAAGTGCAGTGGCACACTCATGGGCTCGTGATCCTTCTGCCTCAGCCTTCCAAGTAGCCAGAACTACAGGCATGCACTACCATGCCCAGCTAATTTTCGATTTGTTGTAGAGACAAGGTCTTAGGCAACCCACAGGCCTGGGCTGGTCTCAGGCAACCCACAGGTTCAAGCAATCCACTCGCATCAGCCTCCCAAAGTGCTGGGATTACAGGCTGAGCCACCGAGCCTGGCCTTGTGACTCTAAAAGTGCAGTGGTGGAATTTTGATAGGGAACAAGCTCAATGCCAACATTGCAAGCTTTCCGTGTAAGGGATAGTCTACCATCACTTTGTTTCTTTGGGATATAGTACCAAGTTCATAGAATAAGAAGATACAGATTTTTTTTTGTATATTTAAAAAGCATCAACCTTTGTTTTCTTTTGTAGATATTATGAATAAGAAACCAAGACTAGCCTGGGAACTTTATCTCAAGATGGAAACCTCTGGCGAGTCCTTCAGTCTCTTACAGCTCATTGCTAATGACTGCTACAAGGTGAGCCTGAATGAGACTAAAGGAAAAATTGAAGATCAGTATCACAGTACTGCGTTGGCTAAATATTAGGTGCAAATACTCTAGAAATTAAATGACTATTTATAAGAGAATTCTCACAGTGTTATCAGAAATGTTATTCTTGGCCAGGCGTGATAGCTTATGCCTGTAATACCTAAGGAAACCAAGGTGGAGGATTGTTGGAGTCCAACAGTTTGTGACCAGCGTGGGCAACACAATGAGATCCTGTCTTTAAAAAAAAATAATTAAAAATAGCATTCCTGTAGTCCTAGCTACTCAGGAGACTGAGGCAGAAGGATTCCTTGAATCCAGGCGTTTGAGGCTGCAATGAGCTGTGATCCCACCACTGTACTCTAGCCTAAGTGACAGAGAGAGACCTTGCTTCTAAAAAAAAGAAAATAAATGCCATTCTTTGATGAATGAACTGAATTCAGAGATAGGCAGTATTTCAGAGCTTTATATATAAATGAAATTATGATTTAGAGAGGCGGTTTTAGATTTCTAAAGGCTATGAATCTTTAGTTACCATCAAAGTAGAGTTACTGTACCATCTGGTACAGTAAGTCCCCTATATATGAACCTTCAAGTTGAGAACATTCAAAGTTGCAAATGTGCATGTACCCACAAGTCCAATCACGTAAGTTCATTCCCATGCCTGGCATACATTGTCACATGGACAAACCTTTGCCTACAATTTTTTCACAATTTTTGTGGATTTGAGAAGATGGATGAGAAGTCCAAAGAGGTCTTCAGCAGCTTAGTGACCCTCAGCAGGAAGCTGGAGCTAGGTCTACAAGAGGACAACTTCACTGAACTCCTTGCTGTGCTTACTAATGAAGACCTGATGGAACTGGAGGCTCAGAGAAAGGACAAAGAAAGACAAGAGGAAGAAAAAGTAACTGAAGAACTGAAGAGATTCACAACACAGGAAATGGCAAGGTGATTTTCTATATTTGTGGAGACACTGTTAGTTTTTGAGGCACAGGTCTCAAACACAGAACTGTGCATGAAGGTTGTGGCAGCCATTCAGAACACAATCCAGTGCTACCATGTCATCTATAATGAGAAACAAAGAGCTACCTCCCAGACATCACCGAATCATTTTCTCAAGAGGGTAGATAGAATTGAGTCCAGCAAGGAACCAGAACCTGTGCCATCCACGTCAGGCTTGAGTGAAATTGCAGTTTGCCCTCCGTCTCCTATTACTGATGATCCTTTAGCTCTACCAACTCCCCCCTTCTCACCTTCCTTTAGTCAGTAACTCTTCTTACCTGTTTACTTGATTCCAGCCCCTGCACACCAGCTGTTGTACTGTACTACTGTGTTTTTCAAGGTACTGTGCTATAAGATTAAAAATTAAGATTATTTTTTGTTTTTATGTATTATTTATGTGAAAAGTATTATAAACCTCTTACAGTACAGTACTAATTGTTGGACTTACAAACAAATTGGACTTACAAACATGGTCTCAGAAAGAACTCGTTCATATGTAGGGGACTTAATATAGTTGGAAATTTGGTTCAAGGAAGCTCAAGAAAGATGTCTTCTGACATCTTTGACATGTTGGGTTATAATCAACACTTAAGTATAGTTATGTGTCATTTAACAACAGAGATAAGTTCTAAGAAATATGTCATTGGGTGATTTTGTTGTTGTGCAAACACACTGATTACAGAAACCTAGGTTGTATAACCTCCTACATATCTAGCTATGTGGTATAGCCTATGGCTCCTATACTACAAAACTGTACGGTATGTGACTGTACTGAATACTGTGGGCAGTTATGACACCATGGTAAGTATTTTTATATCTCAACATAGAAAAGATACAGTAAAATATGATGTTATAATCTTATGGAACCATCATCATATATGCGGTCTACCATTGACCAAAATGTCCTTGTGGAGTGCATGAATTAACTGAAGTCCTGAAACAATGAGATTACCCAGGTAGAGAACCAAAGTGAGAAGAGTTATAAATCAAACTTTGGGGAATACTAAAATGCAAATGGTAGAAGGGAAAAACAAAGGAACCGGGAAAAGAGAATAAGAAAGCAGTCAGGTTTAATGAAGCACTGGCTCTTTTGTGTGTGGGGGGATGGGAGAATTGGAAAAGCAGGGAGGAGGAAGTAGTTTTGGGCCCTAGCCTAGAAATTAAAAGACTTTTTTTTTTTTTTAGACATTAGCCTCAAATTCTGGAAATTCCTATTTTTTAAAAAAAATCTCATCCTGTCCAAAATACAGTAAAATGCCAGATAAAGAGTGTTCAATTAATCAACAATAGCTCATTTAAAAGTGAATCATTACTAAAAAAAAGAACTGAATCACCATCAATGGAAAAGGTTTTAAGACATAGGAAACTTGAAAGTAATCGTTTAACGGGACTTGGTGGATGGCAATGCTGTTAAGTAAACTAGGGGAGGTGAAAGGAAAGAAAACATTAAAAGACTGGAAATTACTTCTAGATGTATTAAATCTGAAGTGTCTTTCGTCCTCCCAGCAAGGATAATTCAGGCAAGAAACTATCAAAGTGAGCCTGGAGCATCAGTATTCATGTGAGAGATCAAGATTAATGATGTAGATTCAGAAGTTAACAGTAGTTAGTGGTGGTTAATAGTAATAGTAGCCAGCTCGATGGCTCAGCCTGTAATCCCGTGCTTTGGGAGGCTGAGGTGAGTGGATTGCCTGAGCCCGCGGGTTCGAGACCCGCCTGGGCAACTTGGCAAGACCTCATCTCCACAATAAGTCAAAAATTAACCGGGCGTGGTAGCGCATGCCTGTAGTTCCAGCTACTTGGAAGTCTGAGGCGGAAAGATTGCCGGAGCCCAGAGGTTGAGGCTGCGGTGGCCAGGAGCGGCCACTGCACTCCAGTCTGGGCAACAGAGTGAGACTCCAACTCAAAAAAAATAAATAAATAAAATAGTAATAGTAGTAGCAGCAGCAGAACAGCAGGGTATGAGAGAGAACAAAATTAACCAGTAAATGGGACAAGGAACCTTGTCGAACACCAGTATTTAAGGGATAGAAATAAAAAGAAGAGTAAATGAAAGAGATAGAGAATAAGCAGAGAAGAAAGAAAACAATGAGGAGAGAAAAAAATGCTTTTCATTACTCTTTTTCTTGTTATTTAATCAAAAGCCAAAGAAGGAGAGTGTCAAGTCAGGTCTCCAGCTAGATAGAAATGCATGAGAACTGAGAAGACCATAATAGTGTGTCAAGAATAGAGTCAGATTAGAATGCAGATGCAATGAGGTAATGTAGACCACAGTCTTGAAAAATTTGGTACTGAGGCTGGACACGGTGGCTCATACCTGTAATCCCAGCACTTTGGGAGACCAAGGCAGGAGGATTGTTTGAGCCCAGGAGTTCCAGGCCAGCCTAGTCAATAGTGAGACTTCATCGCTACAAAAAAAATTAAAAAGTTAGCTCGGCATGGCAGTCACGCCTGTAGTCTCAGCTACTGGAGGCTGAGGCAGAAGGATTACCTGAGCCGAGGAGGGGTCATACTACTGCACTACAGCCTAGGTGACAGAGTGAGACCGTGAACCCTGACTCAAAAAGCAAACAAAAAAATGGTACTGAAGATAAAGAGAAAAATATAATGTTAACTTAAAAGGAAAAATAAGATTTGGGATTGGGGGTGAAGTGGAGAGGTCTTTTTATTTTAGAATGGGGGGTTATATCTGTAAGTAGAGGAAAATGAGCCATTGAACTGGGAAAGTAAAGATTCAAGAGAGTGAGGGCATTTTTGATGGAATAAGGAGATGAAAGGGGCATGGGGCTAAGATCAAAGGAAGATAACTACTTTGAAAACAAGTCGGCATTACCTAGTATCTCAGTGGTCCCATGACTGCCCACTAGTTTGGTGATTCACTGGAGGACTCATATGACTCAATATAAAGCTAAACTCATGGCTAAGATTTATTATACCATGGGAACAGCTGGAAAAAGACAGGTATAGGTGAAGGCTAGGGAGGTAAAACCCAGACTTTCTTATCTTCCCTCTGTGGGATCACACAGCCATGTCTTTCTCCAGTATCGTGAGATGTCATCTTTGTCAAGAAAAACAGAGAACAAATGAGCAGTAAATGACAGAATTAAGCCCTAATGTATCAAGAATTATGTTAGGTGGCCTAAATATACCAACTAAAAGACAGATATAGGAGGATGCCTTGCAGGGTGGCCAGACCCTTACCCTGTCCCTGCTCCCCCTCTGACATCTCTGGAAGAAAAGGGGAAATCGCCAGATGCCTTCAGTGAGGTGGTGTCAGAGGCATCCTTGCCTTCCTGCTAGGTGGGAGGGGGCTCCAGCTGGGGCAGAGGGAGTCACCCATCTCTAGAGCTCAGTTTCTGAGGTTGAGATGCAGGGAGGTCCACAGGGGCTGGGAGGGTGACTTGCAGAGTCCCTGCCCCAATCTCCTTGTCTTAGGAAGGGGAGTGGTTACTCTCAGAATTTCTATTTTCCAGGTTGGGGGGGGCATCATTATGATTTATGATCTAAGAAGACCACCATCATTCCGGGAGTGGGAGAAGACACACAAACTTAGTTTTTTAGAGATGGGGAAGAGGCATCAGTCTCGGAGGAGGTAAGGGAGTTCTAGATACCTGGGTACCACTTTTAGGGACCACTTTCTATTAAAAAAAAAAAAAAAAAGCTGGGCTCGGTGGCTCAGCCTGTAATCCCATGTTTTGGGAGGCTGAGGTGAGTGGAATGCCTGAGCCCGTGGGTTTCAGACCTGCCTGGGCAACTTGGCAAGACCTCATCTCTACAATAAATCAAAAATTAGCCGGGCGTGGTAGCATGCGCCTGTAGTTCCAGCTACTTGGAAGGCTGAGGTGGAAGATCGCTGGAGCCCAGCAGGTAGAGGCTGCGATGGCCGGGAGTGGCCACTGCACTCCAGTCTGGGGGACAGAGTGAGACTCCAACTCAAAAAAAAACAAAAGAGAAAAAAAAAAAAACATATCGACAGAGTAGATGAACCATGACCCATGAATGATAGCATAATTTAGAAAAAGTGAGTGGGAGGACTTACTTTACAGACAGGCTACCTGATGGTTCTCAACCACAATTTGGTGACACAACTGACTGTTCATGACAACCATAAAAATTGGTAAATAATTTTTATTAACTTAAAAAATAACCCATGACCTGACTGTGTGCTTTCTACAAGAAATTCACTTCAAATATAATGACAACTTCGAAAAAACCATGGCCCAACTGTGTACTTTCTACAAGAAATTCACTTCAAATAAAATTAACCTTGAAATATAATGACATAGCTAGGTCAAAAGTAAAAAGATTTTAGCCAGGCTCGGTGGCTCAGCTTGTAATCCCGCGCCTTTGGGAGGCCGAGGTGAGTGGATTGCCTGAGCCCGCGGGTTCGAGACCCGCCTGGGCAAGCGAAACCTCATCTCTACAGTAAATCAAAAAATTAGCCGGGCATGGTAGCACGCGCCTGTATTTCCAGCGACTTGGAAGGCTGAGGTGGAAGGATCGCCAGAGCCCAGGAGGTCGAGGCTGCGGTGGCCGGGAGCGGCCACTGCACTCCAGTCTAGGCTACTGAGAGACTCCAACTCAAAAAAAAAAAAAAGATTTTAAAAAATACACCACAGTTTGGCAATTTCTTTAACAACCATACACGTGTCTTATGACCCAGTAATTGCGTCCCTGTGTATTTATCCCAGATAAATGAAAGCCTATATCCACAGGTACACACAAATGTTAATAACACAAATTTTAATAGCAGCTTTATTTGCAATAGTCTAAAACTGAAAATGGTCAAAGTCTTTAAATAGGTGAATAGTCAAACAAACTGGTTTGGCATGAAATTCTGCGTAATAGTAAAAAACTGTAATGAGAGGTCTGACTCAATTTCTTGATGTTTGACTGCTGACAGCTTTTAGGTCTCACCCTGCCTCTTCCCCTTGTGCCCCACATCTAGACAAAATGATAAGAAAGCCCACATGCTCCCTTCTTTGATGGCTTTGGTTGATTCAGACCACATAAACCCCTGCCCATGCACAGGAACCCTCACCCCAGCCCTACATCCAAATCACATAAACACCCGGCCAGCCTCCTTTTCTTGCTCTCTCAGGCCATTTCAGATCTTCTTAGCAGGGCGGCCCCACCCTCCTTGGAGACCCCAATTAAGTAAGTAAGAAAACTTTTCATACCCTCTTGGTGTATTTGTGGTGTCATCAGTCTCAGCATTCAAACCAAACTTTAGGTGGGGGACCCTGCCTACTTTTGTAGGATGACCATAACAGAAGCAAACTGATGATACACGCAGTAATGTGGATTAACAAAGACATTATACTGAGTGAAAAAATTCAATCTCAGAGGGACCCACACTGTGTGATTTCACAGATAAATTAACATTCTTGAAATGATAAAATTATAGAAATGGAGGACAAATCAGTGGTTGTTAGAGGTTAGGGATGGTGAGCAGTGAGGGGTATGCATGTGACTATTGAGGGGTAACAAGGGAAATTGTTGTGGCAATAGAAGAGTTCTGTATCTTGATAGTGGTAGTGGCTACGTGGATCTACACGTGCGATGAAATGAGAGGACTGTCATCAACATTCACAGTACCAATGTCAACTTCCTGTGATCTTGTATTGTAGTTGTGTTAGCTATAACCTTTGGGAGAAACTGAGTGAAAGGCACACGAGACCTCTGTCTACCTTTGTAACATCCATGGATCTATAATTATTTCAAAATAAAATTTAAAAAAATAAATTAACTAGAGTTATATAAAGCAATATAGATGAATGTTATAATATTGAATCATAGATGTAAGACATAATAGAATATTTATAGTATTAATTCATAAAAAGTTCTGAGATATAAAACTCAATTATATTATTTAAAGATATATTCACGGGAGAGTAAGCTATAAAGAAAACTGAAGAACTGATGGCCTGTCAAGTCAGAATATAGTTACCTTTGGGTAAAGAGGGGGATTTTGGTCTGGAAGTGACACAGAGCTTTTGGTCTGCTCTCTGTGTCTTGAGGTGGGTGATGGGTACACTGTATTCATATTATAGTCAGTAAGCTGTACATCGATGTTTCGTGCACCATTCGATGTATGTGTTATTTCAATAAAATAAAAAATGTTTTAAGAGAACATAGGTAGAAAGATTAACCTTGGAAAAAACAAAGAACACTTCCTGTGAGATAGGCAGAAAGGATGAATGAAAGTGTGAGTATACTTTTAACTAAGGAAAGTTACGTTTTCCCTAGGTGTAGAATAAAGCTAAGTTAAGAATGCAGTACAGGTTTTCATCTTTTAAATTTTTTTAATATAGATACAGAGTTTCACTTGCCCTTGCTGGCCTCGAACTGCTAGCCTCAAGTGATCCTCCCCCTTCATCCTCCCAAAGTGCTAGGATTGCAGGCGTAGCCACCATGTCTGGCAGTAGAAGTTTTAAGGAAATTGCCAAAGGTCTAGAAAAACGGTTAACAGGAATAGAGAAGTAACTAAACCACACTGAGTAAAGAGGGTTGCACCGCAATTTGAAGCCTTAAATGAAATTGGTAACAATATGCATTTATGATTGCCAATTAAGAAAACTCATCTAAGCAAAACTTAATGATATGCAGCATGTTCTATGAGGTAAAAAATAAGTGTAGTTCATTTGGGAAAAATATCTGTCAAAATGAATTAAATATTTAAAATATTAGTAGTCAGTATACATCTAGGCATTCTGATAATTTTGGAATAAGAGTAGGAAAAGACTACCCTCTTGAGTGGAACATGATCAGATTAGTATAAGATAAATGATAATAGTCATTTTAAAAGAATATACTGAGAAAACCTGAAAAATACCAATCTCGTTTCAAATTATAGACATCAGAGCTTATCCTAAAGATTAGAATATAATTGGAAGAAATAACAAAAATGTTGATTACAGCATAAACTGACTACATGTAGAAAAGATGTTATGCTGTTGAAAGCTGAATTGAAAAAAAAAAAAACTGAACGAAGATAAACTGGTTTAAACAGAACCTGTGTACTCAAACTGTGATTTTACTTCTTCTTGTTTTACCTAGAAATTGAAATGTATCTACTTTGCTAAATAAACATGTTGTCATTACTCATGCACTTATTTCATATTATCTTTATACAATCTTTTTTACTATGAGTATTGCCATAATACTTTTTTTTATTCAGATGGGCCAGTTTTACTATTCAGCCAAAGCCTTTGATGTCCTAGAAAGGCTGGATCCCAACCCTGAATATTGGGAAGGCAAAAGGGGTGCTTGTGTGGGCATCTTCCAGATGATCTTAGCTGGAAGAGAACCAAAGTAAGTAAACAAACCAGAAATACTACTTCTATTCATTTGCTTGTTTGTGAGAGAAAATAATTGTTTTATTGGATGATAACTTCAGAAAACTCAAAACTATAATGATGAAATAAATGTTATAAGATGTTAAATATTTCTATTTGATGATTTTCTTCCAGAAATATTTTATTTTGTAGAATCAAATCATTCTAAATCATAGGAACATTGAATATACTAACAGTCTCAAATATAAGAACAAAACATATATTTGGTTCCAAAGACTCCCAGGGAAATTAATTCATAGGCAGTCACCTATAGATCTGTTAATAGGGAAGCATTAGTATGCATTACTTGAAATATGTTTTAATTTTAATTAAATTTAAGTTACTTAAAACATAAAGGTTGGGTATTTGCCAAATCTTAGTCCTTATTACTCCTCTCACTCATTCCTCTGACTTTGTAAAACTTTACAAATATGGCAGTGACACCCAGCTTAAGGTGATTACCACCTTAAACAAGGGAGAAATCTAAGCATCAGACAAATTAAGTGACTTGTTAGTGACAGAGCTAGAATTTGAACCTAACTTCCCTGGATATACCCTTTCTACTCTGTTGTGCAGAATAAGCATAGAAATGGGAATAATTAGGTCATCTCAGAGAGAATAAAAATATTAATAGTATGCATACAGATAGTCTGGATAAACAAAGAACACATAGGTTGGGGAGGAGAATTTCACAGAATTTCTACTTTATTATGCCACCATAAGAAGGTTCATAAGTGGACCTTGAACAACCATAGTAATGCTATAAGAAAGGGATTGACAATATTAACTGCCAGGGGCGGAGGTGGGGGGCACACCTCATCAACAAGGGTACCTGCATAGTGAACATTTGTATCCCTAACCCTGAATTGTACCCCACAAATTTAAAATAAAAAATAGAAGGCTAGGAACTATGTACTTACTTTATGAACACACAGTGAAAGAATCTATTACCAAAAATGCCCTACTAGATGTACAGTATGAAGAATCGTTCTGAGTTTATTTTATCTGTTCACTTTCATTATTTATTGAAACACTTTGTCTTTTCAAATCTTTCCCTCAGAGAGACCCTTCGAGAAGTGCTCCATTTACTGAGAAGCACAGGCAACACCCAAGTAGAGTACATCATCCGGATCATGAAGAAATGGGCCAAAGAAAACAGAGTGCCTATCTAAAGTGCTGCAGAGCCAAGGAGCCAGCCTCTACTTTGACATAAAAGTTGAAATAACTTTTCTCAAGTTTAATGTGAGATACAGGGCTTAATTTTATTGACATTTCGCTTCCTCGCTCTTCAGGCCCCAAGATCAGTGACTGACTTGCTTAGACCTGGCCTCCTAGCTCAGCAAAGTACCATAGCGTATGGCCCCTGTATGATCCTACAAGCAATAAGACTTTGGACTTATCTGATGCCTTTCTTCCAAAAATACTCAGAGTACTCGTATGTAATTGACTGACTTCAAGGAGAACAGCATAACTCCTTTTATGATAGCATTCCATGGCATTTTCTCCTAGCTGCAATAACAAATGTCTTTGATGTTCAAGAATCACCATCATTCTCTCCTCTTACTTTAAGACATCTCTGTACATTATCCCATTTTATTGAGGAATCCATGAAGAGTTTTGTAAGTGGGCATATCTGAACCTTATGAAAATAGAGGTTATAACTAGCTACGTGATTCTAAGAATGGCAGTAAGAGCCTTTATCAACCTGTCTGGTCATTAATAGATAATAGACTTATGGGATTACTCTTTCAGTAATTAAATTGTTGATGATAATAACATGTCACAGTGGAGGAAGAGGGGTATTGCAATTTTTAAAGAGGTGAGTACTTTGAACAAAATTTGTGTGATACCTCTAAAGGCATTCAGGAAACAAAATATATAAATCTCATTAGTCTATTATATTTTAGTATCATTATATTTTAGGTAACAAAGTAAGCTAGGTTTTTCTTAATGTATCTTGCTGAATAAACATCAGTTTTGAAAGTAGGGCTACGAGATTATTTATATGCATTGTGGGCACTTGTTAATATAATAATTATAAAACATAGGCCAGGCGCAGTGGCTTACGCCTATAATCCCAGCACTTTGAGAGGCCGAGGTGAGAGGATTGCCTGAGCCCAGGAGTTCGAGACCAGCTTGGGCAATATGGCAAGACCTCATCTCTACAATAAATCAAAAAATTAGCCAAGCATGGTAGTATACACCCGTAGTCTCAGCTATGTGGAAGGCTGAGGCAGAAGGATGGCCTGAGCCCAACAGGTCAAGGCTGCAGTAGCTGTGAGTGTGCCACTGCACTCCAGCCTAGGTGACAGAGTGAGACTCTGGCTTAAATAAAAATAAAACATGGATTATATAAAGCCCTTTGAGGAACCCCCCCAATGGCTAGCCTCTCTGTCCTAACTCATGTTTCCATCCCGTGTTTCTGAGCTCTCACAACATAAACCTACTATACAACTGAGAATTCTTGGGCTCACAACCTATTTCTAGAAAACAGATACTCATCTTTTTATATTTCATGTTACCTTTGTTTCTACACTGTATGATTTTTTTTTATATTAGTGTAAGTTACCTATTATTACAGGTCTAGAAAATTCTCCTATTCAGCCAAGAATAGATGGGAAGAGAACAGAAAGAAAGTCAGAATTCCTTGAGGCACTCCAGTCAGAAGAATTCCTGTAAACTCTGCAATGATTGTTCCTCTCATCTCCCCAGTTTGGGTGAAGGAGTTATCTAGAAAGGAGAACAGAACATGGCAGGAGGCAAGGCAGCCAGAGAGAAGCTCAGTGACAAGACAACCTTTCCCTCCAGTATGGTCACAAGGGGTTATTTCAGCTCCACTCAGAAAGATGGCCAGTTTTCCTACCTTTCACTTTAGAACCAGATCTAATCAGTCCAGAGCACAAGTTCAAACAAACTGGCCTGAATAACTGAGCTCCAGGAAACAAAGCTGCACCATTTTTCATATGTCAAAACTCCTGTTTCTTCATTATGTTGTTTCTACATTTTCAATAATAACTGGTTCTCAACATCTCATATGTTACGAGTCAGACCTGGCAGAACCTGTGATAATTTTTCGAATCATTGTTATAATTCTTACCTCACTTAAAACGTTAGGAATCATTAGTGGAAAAGTCAGGTGGAACCACTCAGTAGGTTTGGGCAATAAAATTTGTCTTCCAGTGAATTACTATTTTCAACTTTCCTATACTTGAAAAGTTTTTCCATTGATGATGATTTTCTTTTAAATGGGCTTTTGTTGATTTTTACACTTTAAGTTCTTCTGACATTTTCCTGACTTTTGGGGGAAAAATTCCAAAAATTGCAGGATTTTGAACTAATTTTTTAAAGTTTTTAATCTATAAGATTGAGCCAAAAAACATAAGGACTAGTTTAGAGAGTACCATCTAATTCTTTGATTAAAGATAGCTACTTCTAAAATGTCGTTAGCTACTCCTCAGGATTGCAGAGTAGTTTTGCATGGCTGTTTTTCTTACATATGAGAGAGGAGAGAGGAAGGCCCAGACTTCGGAATGTAGTGAAATGTGTACAATTTGTAGCATCAATGTACTTTTTATAGCCTGTAGCAGACATGACTTGCAAATGGAAAAACTTTTGCAATGATTTTTGTATTTCAAAATAACTGTTATACTCCATTGTATTATATTCAAATTAAAGTTTATTACTTGGTTCCGTTACTGGTATTCTGTGGAGTGCGATGAGTACAGGACCTGGATGTCATGTGCCTTTTCTCCTTTCCATCCCTAGAGTGATGAGAGAGAGATAAAGTTTAGAGCCCCAAAAAATTACTTTATAAGAGAGGAAAGTCAATATTCCCTAAGAAACCTTTTCCACTAAGAGGCTAGTGGTTCCTGCTGACTCATATTAGGCTTGGCTCTTTGCTGAAGTTATATGAATATGTACTTGCACAGTACAACACCTCACACATAGAAAGTTCTCACATATTTGTTGACTGAAAAATTCAGCATATGGTAACTGATAGAGCAAGGGACTTGTGATATATGACCTCGTGTATTCTGGTTCCCATTTAATTATTGTTTTATTGCATGCTAAGCATATGCCGGGTGCTAGGGATGCAATGACAGATGATGCACAGGACTGGCCCTGAAGGAACTCGGTCTAACAGAAGCATACACTACTACACACAACCACCTGCAGCATGCGATCAACGTCGTCAGTAGGAACAGAGTATTGAGAGGCCTAAAAAAGGTTTGTATCCGTGTAAATCGGGCACTTCCCTCCTCATTTGGGAGAAGCGGTCAGAATGGATCCCAAAGCTCCACAGCCAGCTAGGCGCCCAGGGTTCTGTCATGTGCAACACACACCATGCGCATCCAGATGCACAGAAGCCAGGGGGCTGCTTTCCTCCTCTGTGGCTCAGTGCACTTTCAAAAAGTCACTGGCAAGTAGGCATTGTAAGCACAATGGTTATATGTACTTTCTGGTGGCAAAAATGAATTCGTGATTTACTAGCTTCTATATTCAGGACTCTCAATGTGACTTAGATGAATAGTCATCTCTCCTTCATCCTGCAAAATATTTATACTCGGAGGTTTATACTGTATATTATAATAATGTTCAAACAGTGCTCCTGCCTATTTAGAGATGGTCTCACAGCATCAGAGCTAGGGGCCCTGTGATATGTCTGTAACCTACCTTAGCTCCAGACTTCGGAAATATGAGAGGAATTTGAGACACCACACAATCAAACGAAGGCCATCAGCTGACGTGTGTGCATTGAGTGTGTAGTGTATAGACAAGCTTGCACATTTGTTCCCATTAAAACTCTCTTTAAATGGAATCTGAATGCCAAATACACGTAGGGTCTGCTCCAGTGGTTGAGGCAAAGGAGAAGAGAGGAAGAAGATACAGCAGGCCCACACTCAGGCTGCCCTGTAGGGTACCAAGGAAAGATAACAAACCTTAGATGTAGGGAGTGAGCACCCTGCAAGGCCAGTCATCCTCAGGAAAGAGAGCAATGGGTTCTGCGAGTACATTTTATTTGACTTGTTTATCATATTTTTGTACATTCATTTATTTATTTGGTTAATTACTGATATCCACTGATAGCCCAGAAAGGGTTTGAGGTAAATTATCAAAATATGTATAACAAAATATAGATAACTAAGAAGACATTTAAGAAATGGGTTGGTGTATTCCTATAGTCCCAGCTACTCAGGAGGCCAAAGCAAGAGGATCACTTGAACCCAGCTGTTTAAGAACAGCCTGGACAACATAGTGAGACCTCATCTCTAAAAAAAAAAAATTTTTTTTTTTGAGTTGGAGTCTTACTTCAAGCTGGAGTGCAGTGACATGCTCATGGCCATCCCGGCATCAACCTGTTGCTCAAGTGATCCTTCTGCCTCAGCCTTCCAAGTACAAAAAAAATTTCTTAATAAAAATAACATTTTGATTTTTTAATTGTTATTTTAAAGATGTGGAGTACAATTCAGGGTTAGGTATAAAATTTTTAAAAAGAAGAAAGGAAGCCAAGAGTAAAGTTAATACATAAAAGTACATACCAGAATTACTAAAGATGAAAAAAAAACTTTATCTTACAGGCTTCCTGCCAACCAAATCAAAGGAAGAAACACAGCCAGATAATAAATTCAGTCATTCTACATGAATGAACAACAAAAAAAGTCTTGATTTTCAGTGATCTCTAATTTGTCATGGGTTTCAAATTGGGTTTTCTGTACTATAACTTGGACATAACTGTGTATGCTTTTTAATTTTTCGAGGGAATCTTATTGTTAATCTAAACATCACATGTTTTCCCTACTGAAAGATGGTTAAAGAGTTCATTACACTTGCCCTTCTATGTTTGATCTCCCCTATAATTAGTTATACTCTCTTTTGCCGGTTTTTGATGGAGTAGTTATTAATATGGTAGAGCTGAGAAAGGTCATTCAAGTTTTTAAAATTATGAGCACATGTTAGGATAAAAATATAGATAACACTGACCTAAAGAATAAATTTCAAGATATTGTAAAAGTAATGGAATGATGAGAAATTCAAAGGGGAAAAACACTATGAAACTGGTTAAATAGAAAAGGCTGCATAAGAGAAGGGAATCTTAAGGTGAAGTATAAATTTAGGAAGAAAATAATTATGTCACATGAAAATAACAGCCTAAATGAAGCCATGAGTGACATTTATAGATGTTTAATCTTAATTATAGTTGTTCCTATCCTTTATTTCATATGGAGATTAACTTGTTCTTTGAAAAATAATATGGGGCAACCCCCTTGGATCCCTCTCACTGTGGGAGCTTTTCTGTCCTCTCAATAAATACTGCTATAAAAAAAAGAAAAAAACAATATGATCTTATACATTTATTTCATGCTATGACTCAGCAAGACACTCTTGTACAAGTACACCAGGAAATGTGTGCAATAAGGAACCACTCAGCAGTGTTCCCAGGAAACATCCAGAAACAACCCAAGTACCCACTGACAGGAGAGTGGATACATAAACTGTGGTGAAGTCACAAAGGAATATTATACAAAACAAAGGAACTG